AGAAAGAGAAAAATGGATACGCCCACTTTTCATTGAAGCAATTAGGTACTCACTAGTTTAGTATAATCAAAATGAAAACTGTTACAGACCTACCAAAGCTTCTTTAGAAGTGTGACATGGTGATGTAACTAAGATGACATGAGGTGACGATGATGAGGCCGAATTATATTATTGACTTTAAATATTTACAGTAGTAAAGGAGATGGCCCATAAAAGTATGGGTATCTATATAAAGGTGTTAAGTAGATAGAGACATCCATCTATTAGGTAAAATATTGAAGAAGCAATCTAATGACACTCAACAATACTTAAATATTGCGTAACATTAGTGTTTATAACCCCCTATAATTCCAAACAGCTAACTGTCGTAATCATGCCTGTGACGTACTTGTGAATTCAAAAAACGTAATTCACATCGTCACTTGTTTTTTAGTGCATTACTCATTCATTTTTTTACAAAAATAAAATAACATTTTAATTTCAACACGTGAAATCAGTGACTGTACTAAAGAGTGACGGTGACAAGTGTTTTTAGTCTTTATCAGTAGATGTTAAGGTCTGTATTGGTGTGGCTGAGCGTAGAATATAAGAATTTTGAAGTTTGCAAGACGTTCCGTGGCGATATAAGTGAGAGCGAGTCTGTGATGCAAGTTGTTTACAGAGAGACTGTGAGACCAGCGGGTGGATGTGTCCATATTGCGATGCTGTGCAGTGTCAGACAGTTGTTATAGTGTAGTGACCAGTAATAAACAAACAGTTCGTAAGTGTTATTTTATTATAATTAATCAATTGCGTATTAATATTGTGGGTGTCTCTTTGTTCCATTGTTCGATCAGACTTTTTCTTTTTGTGTAATGTATGATCAAGTTCTGTAAATGCTAGTTGACTTTTTATCGCGTAGTGAATCTACTGATAGGGAGAGGTCACGTATTGTGGTTTCAAGTGCGACTGCCGGCTAGCGGCTGGGTGCCGAAAACGAAGTCTCGGGGACGATTCCAGGTTTAGGTAGTTTCGGTTCGGCGATCAAAATGGTTTACAGTTGGAAAGTTGGAAAAATGTTGGTTTAAAATTAAATTAGCATTGTATCACTATCAGATTACTTATAAAAGTGCATTTGTGTTCGTTAGGAGTCATCGCGAGCGTTGAATTTCCGGGTGTAACAAATTATGGTAGAATATGCACATAAATATGCCACAGCTAGCTATAGTTAGGTACAGAATTATACTGTGCTATATAGCTGTGCAGATTTTTACTCTGACTTGTGTGTTGTTGCATGTTTTGTTTTGTTCAATGCGTGCGGATCTGACGACATCGAGTTATCATTACAATGTCGATCTACAGCAGTTAATACAGTACAATATACATTCCAACGGTTGGTGCGGTGCACGCAATGTGTTGCGGGTTCGAATCCCGCACGAAGCAACTATTTGTGTGACCCACAAATTGTTGTTCAAGATACCTAGTTACCTACACAAACACATAAACACACAATACTTTCGAATTTATAAGATTACCTAGTTACCTAGTAAGAAATAAGTATACAGAGTGGATATGAATGGGACCGTCGGTAGAGGGCGCCCTAGACAAACATATGTCTGTCAAACATATGTATGTCTGTCTACATTCTTGAAACCAATCTCAATGTCAATGCAATTTCAATCCAATAAAATCTATTTTTTTTTATTGTCTACTATAAATTTAGGGGTTTTGGTCACAACACTACCACGTCAGCCCCAAAATAATTATTTAATGTCCTCACTAATCACTATACAACCCCCGTGACTGTTAAAATAGCATCAGAGTACGGAATACCATTTAGTTCATTCAATATCCATGCAATACGGATGCAATTGGCGCTAGTGTTGCAACTCAAGAGTACAAAATTTCACAATACCAACGTCGATCGATCGGAATTGGATTCAAGAGTAAGCTCCCAGATTGGCGATATACCTATTAAAGAAGAGTCAAAAGTACCCTTAACCGACATACAATGTATGAAAAGACTGGTCGCTGTTGATGAAGCGAAAGAGGTATGTAAGAGATTCGTAGCAATTAGCGTTCGATAGTCTCTAGCTCTACCTACCCCCACGGCAGACAGGCGTGAGATTATGTACATATGTATGTAATAAGATAACGTTTTTAAACGGCATAATATGTATTTAGAATAAAACTATACCAATAAGCTTATTCTCTTTGTCTGATTACCAGTTATTTTTCAAATGTTTCCTCTACCGGTTGTTGTACCTAATTACTAAACTAAAACGCATATTGTTTTTATAATCAAACAGGCCTCTTTGTGGTCTTCGAATAGAATTGTTTAATTTCTTAATAAACAAAGCCGTTCTCTCACCAAGTACCTACTACCTATGTAATTGGACACCTCAAGCATCTACTTACCTACCTATAAACAGGAAGGGGATAAAGCAGGGGACAATTGGTCGAATAGTTTCTAATACGTAGAACTACAGCTTCGGGGGAACTCCCCAATGATGTGTAGTTCACAAAAATTCTCAAAATATATGAATTTTAATATAAAACTAGTTTTGTTCTTCATATCCGCCTGTGTTTGTAAGAATTTAGATTTTTCGAAATAAAACTTAATGTCCTGAATTTTCTTAGGCAGATTTTTATGGTTTGCCTTGGTGCGAGTTCGGAAAGGAAGCCTTCAAGAAAAGAGCGTATTCCTTTTTAAAAGGCCGGCAACGCACCTGTGTTGTGTACTCTGGCGTTGCGGGTATCCATGGGCGCGCTGATCGCTTACTATCAGGTGATCCGTCTGCTCGTTTGCTTCCTATTCCATAAAAAAGATAGTTATTTTCTTATAAATTAGTACCTACATCTAACAGACAGTTTTTCATTGCTTAATTTGAAACGTCAACACTGTGTTTCTTACCATTTTAAAATAAGTAGGTCCGTCTCTTTTAATTTGCATGTTGACCTTAAAATACAAGATCGGGGGCAGTCAGGAATGATTCCTGAAATCACCAACATGTCCAAATCATATACTTAGGTAGCATTATTATATCATTATAATAAATTATTTAGTAAACTTGGTGTTCTCGAAAATAACTTGTAATTTCGGTTTACAAACAGACCGACAAATTGATCGCTAGTTTCATGTGTTTACTTATGTTATTGATAAGTGATTGACTTCGCGTAGGTAACTCAGTGGGTACATAGCGGGTATGGTATAAATACTGCAACAAGTCATGTTGACCATTAGTTGACTATTGACTAAATCAATTGGTTCACCAGTTCACCATGGTGGCTCTCCTGTACAGTTTGGTAGTTTTGTGGGTAGTCAATGTCTGCCATTCGTCCTTGTTGACAAGAACGGTGAGTTTCTTTTCAATTTTATTATTTAACTAGATTAATTTCAAACTAGAGATTTTGTACGAATTTTAAATGCTAATATCTAAAAAAAATACCATCAGTTAGGCGACAAAGAATTTGTCTGCATCACTATCACTGGGAAACGTTCCCAGAAGATGGGCAGCATGGCCACTCGGCAATGCTTATTTTCTGTCCGAAGAAATAGCCAGCCCTCTGGTCACGAGTGGCGTCGATTAGCATATGCTGCCTACGGGCAATTTTTTTATACACCGAATGTGCCCTGGGACCCCATGGCCCAAGTGTTTTCACCCCAAACGGTATCTATAGGTAACTTGAAAATAAAATCTCATTTGATTCTAGTCTAACCGTACCTATTATTTTATTTTTATTGGTACTTTGAGTATCATTAACGACATCAAGATTTTATAACTAGTTAATTGAATTTTTCTATAATAATAATGCATTTATGATTACCTATCAAAAGCTATTTGCTAGATTGAGTTCTAAAATTTGTAAAACACTACTACATTTTTTATTGTACATTGAATTTGGTATTAAGTAGTGAATGGAATGTTTTAAGTGGGGAATTAATCTCAATTGCCACAAAACCTATGTAAATACCACCATAAAACGTATGGACAAGCTAAATCTACTTACAGGATGACTTCAATCAAATCGCATGCCAACGAATTGCTGCGATATATTTTTCTGCAGGCGTTTAATGTTTATATACAGTCATGCTTGTTTTTCGCCAAAGGGTTGGCATTAGTACACATAAGTCATTAGTCAGTATGTGCACCTAAAAGGGTGTGCTTTTTTGCATTACTTTATCTAGTTGTTCTTCGTTTATTGTAGGGTAGGTGAGGTCTATTCTATCTGCTAACTAATTACGACGACCCTAATGTGTTAATAAAAAAATAGTCTTATATTTGATTACTACATCAGTAGGCACGTACTGGGTGCTGGGGGAACCCTCAGGGTACAATACTACAGCGTTTTCCTGTTCATATCGAAGTAGATCCATTGTCTGCTAAACAATGCTACACGTGGTACAAATAGACGCAGGAAAATAGGCATTTTGAATTACTCAGAATGCATTTAGAGTTTACACTTAAGTAGGTACGTATCTAAATGACAAGGCAATACGTTGAAATTCGAAGGAACCGCCCTACCAAAACTTTTCAGTTTTGCAATACGTAGGTACCTACTTATATGTATATATATGTCTACGTAGTTACTGTTGTTTTGTTTGTGGGGGTACGAAGACAAATCCACTGAACTGACGATCATTAATAATGCTCCAGCCTTCGTAATCTATGAATAAAGCGCTTTAGAACTTAGAGCATAAGCCCGACCTTGAGCCATGCAGAGCCATAGGACCGACAGACGCGACAGAATATGAACTTGTCTATACAAGTCCTGACTAGATAGATATATGTAAATAAAACGATACATAGAGATTCCCCGCGACAAATAACTTCACAACATTGCAGAGCATCGCACTGTGCAGTGTGCAGTAATGTCCTTCTGTTGTTTATATTTCTAATTTTATTTATGTTTGATATTTTAAATCGAATCGATTGTACCAACTTTATTACCGGTGAGCTAAAAATTAAGCTATCTAGAATAAATAAATACATTATTAAGTTACACTGTTCTTAGCATTATAGCAAGCGTGGTGTTAGATTATTTTAGAGAATAATTAAGTACTTATGTTAGGTAAAATTATTTCAGTGCCCATTGATCAGCAGGTTTGTACGTAACTATAATAATCATCAATCTAGATAATATTGTTTCTGGAAATAATTACAATCAGAGTTAGTGTCACCTTCGCAGAAGTCAATAAATAACATATTAGTGTTATTGTACATCGAGTGAGAACAATGAGGGAGGTGTGACGTCGCACCTGTTATCAGTGAGAGATGCGTTATCAGTGCCGGCCGGCGAGCTAATTGTTTCAGTGTTGTTTGACAACCTCGCGAGTACCGTAGCCTAGTGCTGTAGTACTTTGTATCTAGTGATTTAACGTATCTGAAACATAGTGAATAATATCTCCAACACTTTGATATATTAACTGCATCCCAAGGTAAGGGGCCTACTATGTTCATTTAAAACAGTTTTAAAATGACTGGTGGTTTATGTACTAAGTTGATAATCGTGATTTATTGATAGTATACATTATAATTACTAACTAGTTTAAACTGTCAAATACCAAGCGGTCACCGGTGACCGCAACCTATTGTTCTATAATTGTGTCTGCAAAACCGGTACTCGACGAGTTAATATATAGATATGTTACTTACATAGTAAAATATAAGACTTTTTACATAATATCAAATATAAGAGAGAACTTTTCATCACTGTAATATTACAGTCAGCAGTATATGTAAAGTTCTTGAAAGGTCAAAATAAGGAACACTTACACACACAGTAAACAATATCACATAATATATTTATTATTTATCTATTATCAAGGTTATTCAATGTGTCTCGTACTACATAACTGATGTCTAAACATTTTGGGCTACATTACTTAACTCGTCAAGTACCGTCATTATAGACACAATTATAGAACAATAGGTTGCGGTCACCGGTGACCGCTTGGTGTTAAAAACATCTATATTTTCGTCATCCTTCATATATTATTATTTATTTCCTATCTGTCATCAGACGGTGTGACCGTTACTAGTCAGTAGGTGGACGACGGCTGGTAACGATCACAATCAATTACGACCTAAGATTGGAACCATCCAGCTAACAGCTAATGATTGTAGAATGCTAAGTGATAATGGATTCTAATCACCTGACTGAGGCAAAGACAAACAGTGATAGTCCCGTGACTTTGTAAGCATAACTACAAGTGCCAGCAGGTCCACCTCTTTGTCAAATTCTTTTATTATATTTTCAACTTTATTGTTTTGATATAAAGTCGAAATTTCAGTCAGTTTCGAGTATGGTTAACTTGCAGCTGGCGACAGTACCTATAAATTTATTTTAATTATATTGTCAAGTCTGTCTCCCGTTGGAGTAGGCAGAGAAAATAGAATGCCAAATGCCAAGATTCTGACATAACTGTTTCGCTTCATCTACATTCATCAATCTCTTGATGGGTGCTCGTCCATTCTTTCTTTTTTGACAAATTTTCTGTGTCGTGGGTGCGTTTACAAACATATAAGTTCACGCATGACACCCAGACCCGAAACAATTTGTGGGTCACACAATAATGTATTTGAAGTATTTGAAGAGTATTTGAAGATGAAGACCAATTGGACCTTGAGGGTCGAGAGGTTGGAACCGCGTCACAATACCAACTTCAAGTCGTTTGTGGTGCGAGTTCCTACTCAACATCTCGACAAATTCCTGGAGGCAGAGTTTTGGCCGAAGGGTGTCATATACCGACGTTTTCGAGGTCGACTACGTGACACCGACCAGCGTAACACGACACCACGCACATCGTGAATGATTTAAATTAATAACTTGTATAATTATGTATTTATGTTTTATATTATAGTATTATTGTATTAATATGGGCCTTCGTTGCCTGATGTAAATGAATAAATAAAAAAAATAATAAAAAATAAGTTGCTCTGTTCGAGAATCGCACCCGCTACACGTTGAGGGTTAAAAATCTTATATGGATTCTACCTATTTAAATGGAACACTATATTGGTTCAAGGGACAGCATAATTTATTAACATGCAGGTAATTTAGTTACGCTCGTCATAAACGTTGTGAAACTATCAGTAACCATAAAGAGATAAAACTAATTTATTACTTAAGCGGTAATAAACTAGTCAGAATCGACTAGTTTGCTATAGACGCCAGCACAGTTAGCTACTCCTTGTTACAATTCTCAAATTTTAATTTTATAACAATACTAATAAGATTGAGAATCTGTCTGCACTCTCCAAATGAAGAGTCGGAATGATGAGGTTGGTACTTTCTTCTTACTTTTTAAAAAGGAAATTTGGAAATATCTGGAAACGGATTATGATGACCACTTGATTAAATTAAGAAATAAAATTAGTCAATCAGTACGTTATCTGCGGGAGTGGCAGCATTCACTAGATTGTGACAAACACACGACAGGTACCGATAACGTGCCGGTAATCTAGCATCGCTTTACATAACAATGTGTAATCAAATAATTTGTTGACCACTATAATGTACTCCGGTAGTGTTGAGGATAAATCGATCATTATACTGAAACAAGTCAATCTTAAGGTAATTGTTTTTATAAACGTTGATAAATTAATTAGTTATAAGTACATAATTACTGTTTATGTAACTCTGTGTGTGTGCGAGTTAACGTCTAACACTGAACTGCCTTCATGAATGCTATTTTATTTTTCGTTCAACATAAATATGCAGCTGTTACAGACATGTATCGTATGTATGATAGATAACTAATTGATTTATTTACTCCACTTTGAAAATAAATTAAATATGCTAATAAATAAAACAAGAATATGATTGTTACAAAACTGAGTATAAAAACTTTGGTATAAGAAGAGATATTGTTTGATGTTGGCTGTTCGTCCTAAATAAAGATATTTACATCAATTTTATCAGTTGCTTCCATTTGTGCAGGTGACAACGATGTCGAAGCGCACAGGATTCCCAAACACGACCGCGCCGGCGGCAGCAGGGCTAACGTACCGCGGTATTGTGGAGAACATGAGCATCCCTGCCGAGCTGCACCAGCGACCTGATGGTAGACCGTACGCCACCTTCGGGAGCGTCGTGCCCATCCACTGCTGCACGCCTGAACAGGTCCATAACCAATGTCATTTTGTAATCAACACTACCGACTCATTTCTGGAATGGTTTCTAATTATTATAGAGGTAGAACTATCAAAGTTGGCAGTAAAAGAGCAGGGAAATCTGGAATGTTCCAGAGTTCTTCTTGATAAATCATGATTCGTTACATATGATCACCAGAAAACTTATTAAATTAGAACCTCGTAGAAATTAAGGAATGCAAGGAACAATTGGTCAGCATGATTTATGTCATTACAGGTGGAACAGCATCGTAAGACGACGCACCACTACTGCGACATCTTCACCGACGAGACGCTGGCGCCGCTCGGAGACCTGGTCTATGTCAGGATTGATGAGAACACCGCAGAGAAGGTATGTACATATAGTACCTACTCAGTACTTGCCTTTAGACTAGACCTTGGACTGATTCGATGTGACCTTCCTTCGTTCCTTAATAAATAAATCCTGCATGATTCTAAATACATACCAATTTCTGCACTCTTGCTCTTTTGAGCTGATAGCTGCGTTATATGGGTGATTGTGAGAAGTGTGATCAATTTTTGTAATAAAATTATCGTTACTAGCTTATCAAACCAGATAGTTTCTATGACTAGGCAGAATCCCAAAAAATCGGATAACTAGGAATGTGACAACTAGAAATATTGACCACTTTTAGCGGAATGTGAAAGGCAAAACACTTCGTCCTGAAATAAAAATCCTCATAGTAACACGAGGCCTACGTGACGTGTCCGCAGGTGTTCATCAACCGGCGGCAGCGCGTGCTGCTGGTGTCGAGCGACGGCGTGCTGGCGCAGTGGCGGCTGGCGCCCACCTTCGAGTCCGCCAACCTGTACCTGGCCGGGACCCCCATCGTGGACCAGGCCGGACACCTCGTGTCCGTCGTCACTGCCAAGTGGGGCAGGCACTACGCTGTGTCTGCTATCGAGGTAGGCCAACTTATTACTTGGGATTATTTGGACTTACAGAATTATATGACGCCGGGTGAGTGGAATACATTTTTCAGTAACCCTAGTATTTCACGGGTCTTTGGTTGTTTTTGTTTCTGTTTCTGGGTGTTTTTCTAGTTTTTCACAGACAGACGAGAACGCTCTCTAAAGCCGGAACCTTTTAAACTACAATTTCCATATTTAGTTTTACATATACATATCTCCATACTCGATGGAGATTATGGCAAACTTTCTTATGTGTAGAGGAGATCCATGCTCCAGTTCGGCAGAAAACTATAAAGGACTTGATGTTATCGAAATGTAATACGAGTCCAGACGACTCGCGGGTTTTATAGCGAAAACCATCTGTTCGCATCTAGCTTGTGTCATTTGTTTACAGGTAAAACAATGTGCCTATTCATTTACGTGTCTATTCCAATTTCCAGGGCGAAGGAGGTTACTTCGACACATCACTCCCCTGGGAGACACTGACGATTCCAGAGGGGTCGTCCGTGTACGGCAATAGAACGTTCCAGTCGCGGGACGAGCTGAGAGAGTACGTGGCCAGCCTCCCCCCTGCGGGCAGCCCGGCGGCGGGGGAGGTGTCCCCCCTGCTGTACAGGGGGGACAGCCCCCGCCTGGTGCTGGTGTCCCCGTCGGGCCGCCAACTGTCGCACCACTACCTGCACGGAGTCATCGCCAACGATGTCGAGTACCTGTGACCTACATACTCACATACTTACGTAATTTTTTTGTTGATTAAGTGTCATAGTGCGTAGCTTTTCTATTGATAGGTTTAATGTTAAAGTTTTGCCAAAGACATCTTGTTCTTTCTATTTCATTCTTACAATCATATTTCGTTAATTTAGACTTTAGTTAGTAAGTGTTACAAACGATAAAACGTTTTTTTTTACTTTTTTTATTGCATAAACATTTTGATATTATTATTAATACGTGGGAGAGCCATGCTTCTGCATGAATGGGTCGACTCGACCGGGGTGATACCCCGGCCTCACAGTACACCGGCGTGAAACAACGCTTGCGTTGAGTGAGATTACCGGAAACCCAAACCTTGCCTAAATCCCCAAAAAGCCCAATATGTAGTCCATCTGCTCATTTGCAGACGTATTTTTTTGAAAAACATACCACCTTCCACTTTGTACTCGCTATGGTGAGTGCAACTCTCGTGCAATGAGAATCATCGGCTGCGTGGTAAGTTTTTCTTTCATTCCCACTGCGGGAGGGGGGATTGTGGACCACTCCCCCGCCCCCCACTGGGGGGGAAAGAACAACATACAACGTACTCGGTGCTTCTCAATGCACGTCACTTGTAAAATGGATCATGTAATACCTGCAGACTAGTGCAAACATACTGTTTGTTTGTTTGTCACTATATTTCGTACATCATCAGTCATCACAAACAATATTGTTAATCTTCATAGTACAAACACTTGTTATACGTTTCTAAAATAAATGATTTAAAAAATGATGTTTTGTATTTTATTTATAAAAAAAAATATGTAACAAAATTGTATATTATTATTTACAGTTCATAACAAATTAGTGTAATAGTAAATAACATACAGCAACAATAAAAAAATATGGAAAAAACAATATAATATACAAACTGAATGCAAAAATAAACCTTAACAATACGGAATGAGGTTCAAATTAATAATTGTAAAGACATTTTGAGACAAATTCCCTTTTACCATTACTTAACTCTCAGAAACACAACACCTTGACATTCCCTACAAATTATAGAATTTTTACTATAATTACTTTGGCAGTCATACAATACCACGTAAGAAAAAGTATTTAATATTTTATCATTTGTTACTGGTTAGACAATAAAGTTAAAAAAAAAGATTAAATGGATTACCTACGTCTGAATACTGCAACTGGGGCTGCCGTATTTTTACTCTCAGATGGCGCAAATGTAGCGAGTGGGTTTTTGTCTAATCGCTGTCACGTCACTGTCAAATATTGAACATGTGACGTTAGCTAATTCCCTATAGGGTAGTATCCTAAATTTTTTTTCAATGTTCGTCTTTTAGATTATTTTATGATATTAGACACGTATTTTTTCTTTTCTTACAAAATCAAATAAGATGATATATTGATATGAAATATCATGTGACGATTTACTAAACTTACTCCGTTTTATCTAAATATTGTTTTCTTATACGACAAAAAATATGTGTCTAGTCTAATATGTTTTCAGTATCTAACTGACGGACTAATTACATTTTTAATTTTCATACACACGCAACTACCCTATTGGGTGAAAAATAAGACGTTGACACTAGCGACCTCTAGTGAGCAAAATCCAGTAAGCCCCCACTGTGGTTGTACTCAAATATCGCTATCTCTGTCATTTTACAAAGAATTTGCAGTGACAGACGTATTGTTGAGAACGTCTTAAAATTGAGTGACTTTTGACTATTTGAACATTAGCTACTATCTACCTATCTAGCTACATCCGTCCGAGTCAAAAGTCGGACTTAACAAAAATATATTTACTTAGATTTGATAACAATACCTATAAACAATATTTGGGTCTACTTATTGTAATATTGCTATTAGTCATTAAATACAAGTAGATCGACACTCGATGGTACACAGTACATTGACATTTGTTATTTTGACATATTCGTATATCACAGTAGGTCATGATATGAATTTGTCGATCGTATCTACTACATACAGGGTGTCTCTGAAGTCAACGATCAAATGGCAGCAGGTGATCGGCAAGGTTCCAACAGTTATCAGGAAAATATTTAAAAAATTCCAAGTCAAATACTTTTTAAACTGTCAAACACCAAGCGGTCACCGGTGACCGCAACCGTTCTATAATTGTGTCTATAATGACGGTACTCGACGAGTTAAATAACAATGTATTATCCACGAAAAAGTACACCCTGTGCCAGTCTTTTGACTCATATTGCCACAATTCTTTATGTTTTCGTCTGATTTTTTGCGAGTAGACCGACGATGTTATATTAGAGACCCTTGATGATTTCCAACATGATGATAACGTCATGTCGCGTCCAAAGTGTTATCTAGTAGATACGAGGTTCCCAAGTGCACTTTGAAAATACTAGAATAAATTTTAGTAAGTCTAAATAAATTGTTCGAAACGGAGTTTCGTTGAAGAATATTTTTTTTTTGTGTCGAATCAAGAAATTATGTAGGAAGTGGTACACCATTTTGGACTCCTTACTAAATGCGCCAACTTTGCTGAAATTTGCCACTACTAGCGCAGTACAATTTTTTTTCAGTTCACTCATAATATAACGTATTAAGTTGTAATACTTAGATAAAATGGCGCTAAGTTTAGGAAATGTGCTACAAAATGTGGCACGCTGTGACGGCGCGGAGAACCTAACGGGTAACCGGGGCTCCGGCTCGACGTGCAGGAGAAGGAACGGGGTGGTTTTTAGTCAGTAAGAGTCTGACACTCCCTCCCGCCTCACCTAGGCGGGAGCAATCATTCGATGATTTTTCCTCCTTTAAAAAAAACGTTGTGACATTACACGATATTTTAAATTAATATATCGTCGAAAGTATTTATTTTTTTGAGAAAAGACAAAGTACGTGTGTAATGTTTCAAATTAATGTACCAGACGGACATTAAAACAAAATTTAGGACACTACCCTATTGGCTCAGAATTTATGATTCCATAATACTGAAGCACTATTCAGGATATTGTACGCAAAAATTCAGACGAAAAAATAAAGAATTGTAGCAACAAAAGTCAAAAGACTGGCCCTGTGCCAGTACCTTGTCGTGGATGACACATAAGTCATTGTAATTTAAAAAGTATATGACTTGGATTTTTTTTTATATTTTTCCTTACAACTGTTGGAACCTTGCCGATCATCTGCTGCCATTTGATCGTCGACTTCAGGGACACCCTGTATATTTCATAGAACTTGACTAGTGTCTGTGTAAGTGACAATGTGACTCGACATGGCACAAGCCAGCTAATACATTTCCATTTACTATTGGAAATACATAGTGCACTTCATAGAAATTCTTTTCGTAAACAGAACAGTTTAAAAAGAAAAAAAGAGATCAGAATTTCTTTTTAAACAGGAATTCCAACAAGTAGATAATTAACTCAGTACTCACTGGCGACATTAGCAGATGTTCCGCGGTACTCAGTACCGGTAGGTGGTTCTCAGTCGACGTACAGTCTGACGAGGCTGGCCTCAGTAGCCGGCAGCGCGGTCACTGGGCACTGCGCCCGCGCGCGGAGCTCGCGCGCTATACAGGCGTAGCAGTACACGTAGCTGGAACAACATGTAGCGACAACTTCTAGTTACATTGCATTGACTGTACAAATTTTTATTATATTCCGAAGCAAACTTCCAAAAGGGTTAAAATATTAAAACATTTAAGGGTTTAAGTGTTTACAGCAAATGAGCTAACTAAGTATGTATACAGGGTGACTTGTAACTCGACAACTTTCCTGTCGCAAGGTGATACTGATAATACAACTAATTTCCTACAAAATCAGCCCTGAGGTCTCTGGTCCGAAAGTGGCTAGTTTCTGAGATATTTAACATTTTTAGATTTTGCCAAAAAACCTCGAACTGTCTACAAAAACACCAATAAATAAAAAACCGCTGGTTTAATTTACATGATTTTAGTTTGTTATAATAGCAAGTAAATAAGTGTCAAATCACTAATTTGATCGATAGAAAACTGCATTTAGTTTAAAAAAATATATATTACACTAAGCGTACACTAGCTAGCTGAAAAACTAGCTAGCTATGAGAAAAACTTCCTTGGTCTATTAGCTACCACCCTGTATAGTGTAGGTAAATTTTCGACCTACCCTGACACCGGTAATACAGTTGGTATCTTCCAGGACTGCAGACATATTGGACACTTGTTCTTCCATCGCACTGCTCGCTCGTCTCGCTGGAAACATTATAAAGTGTCAAAAAAGGTGCTTGAAGTAAGTAACGCGTACTACAATATTTTATCGTATGCCAGTGGCGTGCAGTCCATATAGGCAAAAAGACTTTGCCTACCTTACAAATACCGTGAATAACACTACGTAATAAAAGATATAAACATTTTAATTTTACTACAGAATACTAAAATAATAATTATAATAAAATTAGTGAACGCCTAAAATAAATAGTATAGCAACAATGATGGCGCGCGAGGCAGGCACGCGGTTCCGTCGCCTGCAAACCATTCATAAATTTAAGCGTGTAGTGGTGAACGTCATTGTGTGCGTAGTGCACAGACGCGTTTATTTTATCGTCGCGAAGTTTGCCTGCAGGCACGGCCTGACGACTCGTGACTGAAGTTCGCCGCGAGCCGACCAATCACGTTCCTTGTCTTGGTTTACTCACTGGTCGCCTCGCAGCGAACTTCACGCCGCTCGCGCTTGACAATTTTTTTGTTTTTGTTTACGTGCGATGCGTGGATTTTCGGATAATTTTGTTATTTGATTTAGAATACGATTAGTAATTCTACGCAAATAATTTGTAGTAAACGGTATAAAATTGTCTATTTATATAAGTACATTTTATTACTGTTTGTTTATTTGTTAATTGATTTTGCAAAGTTATACGAAGAACTGTGAAGTTTGTTTTGACAAAAGTTGGTAAAGAATTATAAACTATCGCAGACCATCGCTTAGTGATTAGATTGTGTGTGAGTTTTTCTTCTGATAGTCTTGTCTTGGTAAGATCTATGAAAGTTACTTTATTTTAATGTGATTAGGTTATGTAACATAAGTAGGTACCTACGCGGAGCTTCCCGTCGCGGCAACTCATTCAGTAAAAATAACGAAGCTTTAAGTAATATGTTATGTACTAATTATAAAATGAAATGAAGAAGAATAAGCTATGTAAATGAATGTTTAATAATACTAAAAAATGTATTACCGCTTACTCGGCTCGGCCGCAGCCGGCCGCGCTCGGCTCGATTTTTCTATTAGTCATACCCAAGTTCTTAAAATCATAATATCTCTTGAATAGATGAACCAAACTTATTAATTCGAAGAATTAAATTAAAAGAGTAAAGAATTCGTAATATTCTTGTATTAAACGTGAGAAGGCTGGACAGGCCGCCAGTTCAGTACAATTTTTAGAATGAACAATTCGTTACTGCTACTGAATTGATAACATAAATTAGATTAATCATTATACAGCACCTCGAGTAGGTAATTATGCAGATTAGTTTTACAAATCTAAAGAGAAAAATAGAATATTAATGTTTTTAAGTTGTTAGAGTAATCAATAAGTTGATGTAATAGTTCACGAAAAAACGAGAGATGGCACTGTTACAAAGAATTGATGAAAGATTAAAAACCTCATAAGTTGAATTATGTTATGTATTTACGATGAGTTTAATCATAATACAATATTATGTTGCCTACCCTGTTCTAAAACCCTGTGCACGCCACTGTCGTATGCATAAACACACGGCAGAGAGTAATGGTGTACATGGATTGATGTGTCACTTGGGCAATAAGGTACGACTTGAAAGTATGACTACCAGACTAACAATCACCTCTAAGCTACCTACATATATTCTATTTAATGTTATAAATGCCAAAGTTTGTGGTGAGGATGTATGGATGTATAGGTTTGTTTGATGCTCTTTCACGAAAAAACTACTGGACGGATTTGACTGAAAAGGTATTGCTTAAAATTGGTGACTTTCTTTTTTCTGACTGACATTACAAACTAAATTATTTCACTGTTTTCATTTAAATTATTCATATTTTTGTCATAATTCCCGACTTTAACCACTGTACGCCCGGCACCGGCGCCGTACCGCATACATTACAAAGTGAAAATGGTAGCCAGTAGCCACTAAAGCAATTTGTTTAAGGATACTGTTCTGATTCCATTGCTTTATATAAAATAAGTAAAAATCTTTGATTTATTTCTTGAAACAATACAAATTTGGTCAATGTCATTTGGTACAGAGATAGATAAAGACAGAGATATAGTCTGGAATATGACATGGAGTAATTTTTATACAGGAAACATGGGCTTAAAAGATTTAGAAGTTAGTAAACTTAGCAAATATGAGTATAGTATACCTGCGGCGGCGGCGGTGTAGGTAGACTAGTAGTGGGCGCGGCGCGAGTGTCCCACCAGCGCAGGAACTGCACCGCGAAGGCGCCGTACTCCACCGCGCGCAGCGCGCCGCCGCCCACCAGGGGGAACCACTCCGCGCCACTGACACAACCATTTGTTATTGATACATACGGAACCTCGTGTGCTTGTGACCCTACGTCGTCTCAGGCGAATAATGCAATAACAATATCAGATATCTTTATAAAATTAGGACTATGAATTTCATAGACCTATTTACAGTAAGAAATTAGACATCGCACCTTTAATTAATAATCTTGTTTCGCTTTGAAGTCAGCTCACTCAATTGTTCTCTTCAACTAATTCAATTCTACAAAGAAAATGATCACCTGAACTGTCCAGTGAATAGATTCCGTACAAGATCTCCCCACGTGTACTGGTAGGGCGGGCGAGGCGGCGCGGGGCGCAGGCCGAGGCCGAGCACTGCCAGCGACAGCGAGTGCGCGGCGCCGCGCCCCGCCACGTACCGCGCCAGCCACACGGCGCGCGCCGCCCAGCTCGCCACTCGCACGGCGCGCCATACTACCACTGCGGCACGACGGACTCTGTCCGGTGTAGACTGGTACACAAACACACTTAACTACTTACTGTCCTTAACGAACCTCAGGTGCATTAGCCCTTATCCCATTGAGTTGATCTCAAAAGCTTTTTAACGATTTCGTTATTGTGGGTCATGATTGAAATTTGCCGATTGTACATCAGTGACATTTAAATGTAGGTATAGTGCATGCAACCCTCGTAGCGAAAATTATTAAGAAGTTTTGAGTCAAACATACATTATATCGCTAAAATCTCCTTGCAAGCCTTTGAACATATTCCAGTCACCACCTTAACTCACCTTTCCAAGCCTGCCATCCTCATCATCCTCCCTCCACCGCTCCACTAGCGCCTCGACCCGGTCCTGTATGTATGGTACCAGTACAAGCAGTGCCAGTGAGGCTCGCTCCAGGTGGACAGGGAGCTGCTGTCCCGTCGTGAACTCATTCGTGACTGTCGGCACTCGGAGGAGGTCGTAGAAACTCTCGGAGAATGATGCCGCTGAAGTTTTGATCAGGTATTTAGTAGGTAACATTGTTAGGATAAAAGCCTAAATAGGTTGCGGTCACCGGTGACCGCTTGGTATTTGACAGTTTAACATACTCTAACCAGTTCAATATTTTGAACCATTTTGAGCTTTATAACAAAGCCATTTAAATCTATTACATACATGAACATAGATTAAGCTGCACATTAGCCTACTCCAATCTGTTCAATATCTTCAATTGATTTTTAACTTTATTACATGTCTTTAAGTTCAAAATTTATAAAAAATGAAGTTATGCAGCTCACCATAATGCTTGAGGTAGTAGTACTGTAGACATGTATCAAACAGCAGATACAGCTCATCATAATAGCGTAGACACCAGCCACACTTGGTGGGGTATGTCACTGACAGGAACTGGAATATATATCAACACCAGTGATTGGTTGACCAAGACCTTATGCTATGTAAGCACCACCCAGTGAGTGCAAAATTAATAACTAGTAGATATGATGCAGTAAGATACATAATATAGTTATATCCCTAGAGATATAATTATTACCTACATAGTTATTCTGGCACTGGCTTTCTTACTCACAACCAGATTGATGTTGAAGTTAGGACCAATCAATTAAGTGTTTTGTATTGTTAGACTAGAGCTTGTCACCAAAATAGTCTCTAATTTTTATTATCATGGACATTTTTTAACATTCAAATTACAGCTATCAAAGCATGACTATAAACTGTACTGCTTCTATTTCTAGGAATGAATAAATAGAAACATTGTGAATATTAAGGTTTATTTGTCAGTAACTCTAAAAATAAAATGAACATAGGTATGTACAATACAAAAACACAAGTGTACTTAACAATATTTCAGTAATCTAATCCTACTTAATAAAGATAAATTAGGTATCCACAATGAGATAAAATACCAATTTAATAAATGACCCATAATAAATAATCATTTGTCTATTAAACCAACACGTTATACTTATTGTGTTTAGTTAACAAGTTTAGTTTTAGTTCATAAATGGATGTAGCTCGGGTTCTTGTTTTGTTTATATCAATAGGTTTAAAACCAAAAACTTTATTTAGTAGTGATAGCACTTGAAAGTCTATCTATTTGGAGCTTGAGCAGAGAGCAACAGTTTTATCTTGGATATATATTGACCCTCGCTTTTCCAGGCGTAGAAATTTCTTCAAGAAATAGGGTCAGGGAGTATTCATGACATTTACTAGCTGTATACTATACAGTCCGAATACCTCTAGCAAAAGCTGAATAGCAGCATTATATATGATATAAACGAGTGTGTACCAACTACATAATTGATAGAATACCTCTACAACTTTCCGTAGCGCAGGTTTCACGGTAGACCCGAGCGCCTCCTGTGCCGTGACTTGAAATACGCTCGGCGTACCTTGCAGCGTCCGCGTCAAGTGCGCCGCATACACCGCCATAGTATTGACCAACAAAGTTGTTGCTAATTAACTAAAGTTCATCACAATCACAGTCCACGGTCCATCAGAGTCCAAGTTTCAGTTTGTTTATCATTTTCATGTCATCATTCTTCAACAGCACATGTTATGTCACTGTCAGTCTCAGTTGTCATGTCAATGTTAAATCTGATAGTAGGTAGGTACGTTCTGAAATTGATACGGAATATATTATTCCGTTGCAAACAAATTATTTTCATTTTTGTTGGGTTTAGCGTATCTAATTATTATATCTTATGCAGGAAATTCTACTATAACTAGCTAGTTAAAATAGAATGTCCCGACGTTGCACGTCTTTCTGCCATCTTTTAAACGGTGCAACGCGCGGCGTGACATGACGTTATGTAGCGTATCATTTTTTTTATTTTTCATGTAGGTAGGTACAACAATTTATTTGCGTAGCAAAGTTGCAATAAAATTAAAAACATCTTATAAATGGTAAGACAGGCATCATTATATTTATTTTCATGCATCAAGTTCACCATTTGTCAGGAAAATAAAAAGATGTTGTAATAAAATATTTGATTTATTATTACAATTTACATGTATAATACACAAAATCCTTATCAACAAAAGCATTCATTTAGCACCTAGAATACAATGTTACGAAGCGCATGTTAATGACTGTGCAGTGTTACGTCAAGCTGATGCTTGTGATGTCTTACTAACAAACAATCCACTACAACTCTCGTTAAACTGAACACAAATATCTTACTAGCGATCTCAAATAATATCAATAAATTTATGAACGACGGAATTTCTCTCCAAAGAAAGTCACGTCTAACCATAAACTTGGATTTGGTTGGATATAGACAAAAAAAATGTCGAAAAAATAATCCCGCCAAAAGTTTGAGATCGTAGACAATTACGTAAATAAAACTTATTTATCTACAAAAACAATCCGCTTAGTCTAGTGCAATATTATTAAAACATTTTGGTCCATTTATAAAATATAAAATAAAATATAACACCGTTAACGAGTGTTACTAACTCCCTAAGTGACTCGCGTTTATGGCTTATGATAGGAACGTTTATAAACTCGAAGCTCGTTCTAGTAAAATGCTTCTTACGTGACGTAAGTTATACTTTGGTGATAAAATAGTTGTCTACTTACAATCTGAACAAATATTTGATAGGACCGACCACTCTGTGTATTGTTGAATTGACCAATTAAACATGTTGACCTAAGTCTGAGATACCCACACAATTATAAATATCAACTTAAACCTTACATTAATCATGTGGCTTCACACACAAACATATTTGCCCTAACTTCTTATATATTTCGACATAACGTAACATCACGCCTTTTATCCCCGAAGGGGTAGGCAGATGACCACATAACGACACTTAATGCCGCTGTACAATGTAACACCCACTTTTTACTATTTATATTATACATTTTGTATGCATAAAAACTGCAATAAATATTACTGGCAAGTACAATCTTACCACATGTCATGTCATTACATATTTCACATAACTGGCAACACTAACGAATTAGGGCTTACAATGTGTAGCCATAGTTTAGGTATCACGATCATTCAGCCTAGTTACTAAGAGTGCTTACGTCGCAACGATTATAACAAGATTTTAGGATTATTACATATCCGTGTGTATTTTTGAATACACTGACTAATTATGCTAGTCCTCAACAATATTTTATCAACAACTTTTTGTGAGAGAAGAAACTTCATCAAAACATGATGAAATAAATATTTTACAAAGGAGAAACACATCTTTAAGTACGAAATAATATAAGTACTTAATGAATTAGTAAACAGTAAACACAATGAACCAAGTATTTAGTGCGAGTTGGTTTTACGTTAACGCGATCGTAACGTTAATGCATTTAGTCTTCTAATTGGTTGCTCAATTGGAACAGGCCAATCAGAGCGCTGAATGTCATAAACGTGTCAATGGCGGTAACGTTAAACAAACTGGCACTATGTACTGAGTTTGTATTCGTAAATAGAATACAGATATCGTAATACACTATGCGTGTTATAATTTGATTGAAATATTGAGATATAGATTATATCTCTAATCACATAGATAACTATAGGTATACTTGTATACCTATAGATTTTACATTTCAGTAAGTAGATAAAATATTATTATCACTGGCAATATTGATTTTTCAAAATGGCGGACGGTTATGCCAGATCCAGATCTGTAATTGCAGTTGAATTCATACATTAAGTTTAATTTAATTTAAATAGTGTTAGATATGTAACAATAATAGTAAATATTCTAATGTTACAAATATTACTATAGTTTCGCCTACTTGACAGGCATTAACATTATTCAAATTCACAAATCGTATGACATACATACGTGTACGATGCGTACATAGTTCTAATTACATTTAATGATATATATTTATTACACTGATATTACACGCTGTTTCAAAGTTATAACTCTACAAATGTACTACAAAAGGCCGACCAATGGGAAGCACACATACTTACGATGTCTTACAACGCTTTACTTGGTACACAATCTACTTGGTGAGTGCAATGGGGCCTACCGTATTCTTGCTCACTAGATGGCGCTAGTGTGCTTCTCGTTATTCATCCAATGGGGAATGAGCTAGTCTCACACCATTGGACGTTTAATATTTGACAGCTGTTGTGATTGGACAAAAAAGTCTTCCAACATTTGCGCTATCTGATGAGAAATATAACGGTAGCCCCGTACCTAGTGGGCGAAAAGCCGGGATTATAAAAATCAAGAGCACAGAACATTTTTTTGTGAAGTCGGTTAAAAGACGCTTTTCACTTAAATTTGTCATACGCCCCAATCACGTGTGTTATAAGCGAGCATTGTAAGACATTTCATTATAACTTTGACACTTAAATCAACAACAATCATTGGCTTTCTCTAGTAATTATCATTAGTTCAGACCTTATAATATCACTGAATGTATACTATATTATAAATATAAACCATTGTTTGTAAAAAATACGTTGTTTTCTTATTTAATTTACTTTGTTTACGAGTTGAAGTGTGTAAGCGTACTTGTGATACATTAAATACAGTAAACCGTCGAAGATATCGCTAAATTCTCAGTTCTTCTTCAAGTACGAGGATCATAACATAAGAAAGAGACTAACGATCCAAAATAAAAACTGATCTCAATCCAGAATAACTGGATTTATCTGGATTATTGACAGTCATTAGATAGATAAAACATGTTGTTAGTCCATAGGCTCTGTGTCTATGACCCATATGTTGGACAATTAGTTTATGTCGGTGCAAACTAGTCGTCAATAAAACTATACAAACATAGAAACACTCGTTTTCTTAACAATCAGATAAGACAGAGCGAACAAACATAATTGTATGTCAGCGACATACATAAGAACACGAACCGAATAAATTACATGTTGAGATGATTCAACGTGTGACAGGATAAGCGTAAGACCTTATAAGTGCTGGTTCAGACCATGAAACAAACTGTTTCTAGAACTTAGAAACAATAAAGAAAATTCGCAATGACCATAGATTGACGAGACTTGTCATTGCAAATCTACTTTAATTTCCGAAAGTGCTAAGATAAAAGAATACACAATGAGGTATTTACTACTACTTTGCGCGAGTTAAATTACTCTTAGGTACAAAACGCGACCAAAACCAGCACTAACAAAACCTTACATTTGAGTCGCACCTTGTCCAAACTAACTGAGAGACATCGTAGGCTCGCTCCGCCAGGTCCTAGCTGGCCGAGTTGTTGTACTGCGGCCGGCCGGCCAGCTCCAGTACGTTGTCCTAGCTGGCCGAGTTGTTGTACTGCGGCCGGCCGGCCAGCTCCAGTACGTTGTCCTAGCTGGCCGAGTTGTTGTACTGCGGCCGGCCGGCCAGCTCCAGCAGGTAGCGGTCGGGATGCTCCATCCAGTCCGCCGCGGACAACTTCACCTGCGGACACGGGAATGGGCTTTGTATAATAAACATCGCGAGACATACATAAATAAATAATTATTATTATTATACTGAATTTGAGCTAAAGGATTCATCTCGAAGGCCAACGGTTCCCCTGGTAATTACGGAAAAAATTGTTGTAAAAAAACATCTTCGCAGAATTTGGCAGACAACCCATAGAAGTGCAGATAAAACCAGGTTTAGTCGAGCAATTAAAGAACTCAGAGATCTACTGAATCACGCTATAAACAAATCGCTTACTCAACGATTAGCAAAAATGTCTCCAAAGGCTAATGTAACTCACAACCTATGGAAGGCAACATAGGACCAACTACAGCCAACGCAAAATTCTCCTTCTATTAGATCTGACAATACTTGGGCTCGTACTGACCACGAAAAATCTCAGTCCTTTGCTGCATACCTAGCCGAGGTATTGAAACCTAACAACACGGCAATTCCTGAAGATCCAGAAATAGATCATGTCTCAAAGTAAGACTTGAACTGTGTTTGCCATTGAGTCCTACTACACCAAGGGAGGTTGCTAGAGAAATTGCGAAAATGGACCCTAATGAAGCATCCGGCTTTGACTTGATCACCCCCAAGCTCTTAAAAGAGCTCCCAAAGAAATGCATTGTCTTCCTGACTATTCTTGTCAATGCCACAATAAGAACCTCGCATGTTCCCACACTCTGTGACATCACATCTCAAATTGTTATGATCCACAAGCCTGGTAAACCATCTTACGATGTATCTTCTTATCGTCCGATTAGCCTAACGCCTGTATTGTCCAAATTATGGGGAAGGATCATCCTTGCTCGACTTTCCCTTTGCCTTGACAGGGCATCATTTCATACCTGACCATCAATTCGGCTTTCGAAAGCAGCACTCCACCACTGAGCAGGTACACAGTGTACCACACGTGGCCGCCACACTACTGCCACACGGGGGGGGGGCGACGTTACTACTGCCACACGGGGGGGGGGGCGACGTTACTACTGCCACACGGGGGGGGGGCGACGTCACACCACTTCACATTCACCCTGAGACGTGAAACTTGCCCTTCAATTAATCTAGGCTCCGACTCATTGCCTCAATCGACCTGCGTTAAATACCTTGGATTTCACCTTGACCGAAGGATGACATGGAAAGATCACATAAAAACGAACGCAATGAAATTAACTTAAGATTCAAAAACCTACTCTGACTTCTTGGTAGACAATCTGCACTGTCCTTGTCCAACAAGCTAAGGATTTATTGCTCCATAATAAAACCAATCTCAACATATGGAATCCAACTGTGGACAACAGCCACAACACCCAGCAAATCCAATACTACAATATCCCTAGGGTTCTGTCGTCGGCACCCTGGTACACTCGCAACTCAGAAATCCACGAATACCTGCAAATTCCCACTATACTGGACGAAATAGACATACTCAGCCAACTACAGAGATCATCTGACAGATCACCCAAACTTGACTCCAGAGGGCAGATGTGCTAGATAACTAAGGGGAGTCGGAGCAATGGCTTCACCTCTCCAAACCCCAACAGCAATAACAAACCTGATTATAGTCGTGATCGCAGTTAGAAGTTGAATGTTATCAAATTATTTAATTGATTAGAACTCTATTGCAATAAATTAAGGTGGAAAATTAAAAACTAATAATAGAATTAGCGTGCAGTAGTATGCAGGTCGCTTCCAACCGGCCTATCTGGAAGTCATTGAGGCCATGTTCAGCAGTCGACGTCCTATGGCTGATATGATGATGATAAATAGAAGTAGGTAAGTAATGTAATCTTACACATCGTTGCCTCTCCGCCTCCTTGACCTGCCACTTCTTGATCTCCAGCTGTACCTCGCGGGATGTCTGGTCGCCGCAACCCCATACCTGGGAGAACAGAATCATACGTTTTATAACTTTTTTTTATTTAGAATAAAACGTTGCCGCACACTAGGATTTTCTCCTGTGTCGTGGGTGCGTTTACAAACATACAAGTTCACATACACATGACACCCAGACCCGGAACAACAATATGTGGATCACACAGAGAGTTGTTCCGTGCGGGAACCGAACGCGACATGTAGCGCGGCAGCCACCGGACCAACCGGGCAGTCAATTATATTTGTAACCAGCTCCTTGCTTGCAACAATGGCTCGACTCGGCCGTCGTGGTACCACGGCCTCACAGAAAACCTAAAACAACGCTCGCGTTATATCTCATTGCATGAGTGAGAATACTGGAAACCCAATTACCGTCCCCCACCTTCCCAGTCTCCCCAATCCCCTAATCCCCCACAATCCTCAAATACCAAATACCAAAGTCCACGCAAAAGGTAACCTCTGATGTCTGATGCCTCTGATGTTCCAGGTGTCCATGGGCGGCATTGACTGCTTACCAACAGGTGATCCGTCTGCTCATTTACCAGCTTATCTCATAAAAAAATGTATGGTTACCTCAATAGCCTCGAGAGGATACGGCACTCCCTTGAAGGTGACGGAGTCGAAGTCCTCCGGTATAATAAGCAATGGCTTGCGAGGGTCGGAGCCCGCGCGGAGACCCTTCGGGTAGCCACGGATCGCAGTGTTCAGGTACAACATCTTCGGACCCTTCTCTACTACTGAAAACCTGGAAACAAAATCAAATAACTTTACTTAACTATGGTGGGTAATTGATATTTGAAAGTAATTATTATTGGTTAGAAAAGTTGAAACTGAAAAATGGTAAAAAATATCAGACAATCAGGTGATCATTTCAGATTTTTGCATAAAACCTGAATATTTTCTCTAGAATGACATCTAAAACACTTATAAATAAGCTATTTAAAACGGTGTACAGTACGTCAGTATACGTACGTGGGCTGTATCTGCAGTAGCGCGCAGTCCCCCCCGCCCCAGTACTGGTGCGTCTCGCGCCACTCCTGCGCCGCGCACAGCGCCACCACCAGCTCGCCGCCAGACACCAACACTATCGTAGGGCCCCTACACATACAGTATCTTTATCAACATATCAGCCATCAGACGTTTACTGCTGAATGTAGATAATCCCCAATGACTTTTAGGTAGGCTTCAAAATCTTCTCAAATCTTCAGGGACAGAGCTTAAACTTTATTAAAGAATTATTTTAAGACCGTCGTAGAATACAACAAAAAACATTCAGTATTTAATTTGCAGGGTGTCACCAATATAAGTATCATAATAAGAATTATATTACATGGAGAGTAAGTTACAGTATCCAGTATCTAGTGTACCTGTAGGCGAGTGTATGGTGCAGGAACCGGTTGGCGCCCAGGCCGTGGTCGCGGGACGCGTACAGCTGCGCCCAGTGAGACGGCACCGCGCATACTAGCCGAGCCAACCACGCTGCTGACGCCAGGCCGCCGCCTGGTACATACAGTACGGTTACTGGACACGTCGTTAAGACAATCATATGGTGTGGTAAAGCGAGTGCAGAAGGATGGAGAAGAGATGATCAAGGAAAAGATTTATAGATTGCGTGACGAGTTAAGGAGTGACGAGTTTTCTATGGGAGAATGGTAAAGATATAGTTGTCGTGGAGTATTGGAAGGAGCGTGTCGAGTACCGTGCGCGGGCTGCGGCGGCGGCTGCGAGGGCCGCGAGTAGAGCGGCGGCGCCGTGCCGGCCAGCAGCCAGGCGCCCGACAGCGGCAGCAGCGCGCTGGCCGCCTGCCACGCGCCGCGCTCCAGCACCGGCGTCGCCAGCTCCAGCCCCGACCCCGACCCGCTCGGCTCCACGCACGACGCTATGTCGCGGTGCCGCGTCGCCAGCATGTGCACGCAGTACCTGCACATACCAACTCACTCAATCGCACTCGACATCATCACAGCTGGACTGTGAACCTCCTTTCCAAAACAGGGACTTGCCATAATCTCCACACTTGACGAACGATTTCAAGGTCGTAACTTAAAAAGTTATCAGTCGGTCAGTAGCTGCTGACCAGTCTCTGTTAAATTTAAAATCTCTAAGTCGGCTCTTTCGACAACTACGAGAAGAGTAGAAGTGAGACTCTACTCTGCAGTTACCATACGTCTACTAGTCCCCATGTACTTACCTATGCACTGGGAATATAAGTCTGTGACAGTGCTCCTCCAGCCAGCGCACTACGAAGCCGACGCTGTGCATGTCCTTCTTGTTGAAGCAGCCGTTCACGACCACTGATAACGTTTTGTTGATCTGAACATAAATATACCAATGGTAAGTATTGTTTCTGTCCTGCATGAGGGAACACTTCAATTCTCACAGTTCCTTGAATAGACTCACCATGAGACAAGTCTGCGGCCCCTCAGGGTAGTGGTCCATGGAGAGCTTGTAGCTGGTGTAGAGCAGACTGCGCAGCCCGTCTGGGGTCACCATGTTCTCGTCCGTCTCTGCAGCGAACATCCTGCACATATACCCCCCTGTATAGCCTGAACTAGTTATGAGCTACTACCAGGTACCATCGGTAACTAGGTCTGAAGAGGTTATTATTACGTCATTGTTATTATGTACAAGTGTAAGTTAATCATTAATTTCCTGAAGTATCTAAAATCTCCGGAAGTTTGCAATGACTTTGACAGTGATAATCCGACGATTACAAACAAAAACCTAGCGCCGCGATATGATGACCTTCTAGTTATTTATAGCTGATCGTCATCAACATTGTTGCAGACTGCGACGAGACAAAGACGCTGCCTGCTTGCATGTCGAGCTACTGATGACGCTGCACTCACAGATGACACCAGAGGAAAATCGATCATTAGGTAGGTACGTAGACAGGACAAAAGCTTAAAATCGATGTGTAAGACCATGTTTTAATATTTCTGTGGAAATTAATACCTGAGCAATACTGAGCATTTAACCTATTTTGGAAATAACCATACAGGGATCATTTCATTACTCTATACTTCAAAGACCAGAAGAAGCACGGTAATATAGTATTTAGTAGTGGCTAAGCTGGAAACAATGCCTGGCTTCGATGTAATATTACTACAAGATGCATAAGTGTGCTCTGGATCTTGTGTTGCGTACCTGACGTAAGTTTCGATGATCATGGCGTCGTCCAGCATGGCGAGTATCTTCTCGCACTGCTGCCGGAATGTGGACAGTGGGATGTGCTTGTTTTTGCATTTGCCCACGCGGTGGATGTACTTGAAGAACTGGCGGGCCAGCTCCGGGTACATCGGGAATAGGTATTTCTGGAGACAACCGTTGGATACCTCAGGACTTAGTTACTTGTGAAACTCACCATAGTAGTTTTGAATAAAAAGCTTAGTGAAGGATATTACGATTAGCACTCACTGTGAAAGAGTTCTCTGTGACTCCGTTGACTCCATCTTCTTTTTGTGACCTCTGGACTAGTAACTGTAACAAAGAGCATCAAGATATATTTCAATGTGACCGACAGTCAGCAGTTCAACTAAACAAATATTTTCAGTTTTATTGCTAGACAAATACGTTTAAAAATAAATGAACGTCATAGTATTTGCACAGGTGATTGTATTTTGATAGTCGGGCAAGTGTGGACGATTTGTATGCAGAAATAATTTGAGAGACAACTCTATAATATACTAAATAGATACATAGTTTGTATATCCGAGCTACTGTCCTGCACGAAATAAACGTGATGTTTAGTAGAGGTGTTGATTTATAAATTCCATTCCACTAATCCATTAATCTGGTTCAGTAGAACATCAGTGCAAGATTATTAAAACGCTCAGAAGGATGGTGATCTTAATTAAAACTCAGACTTCTTCAATAATAATTTGTATTCACTTGTTTTAGAAAGTTAGTTTAGTTTGTTTGTATTCACTAAAGAAGAAAACATCTAACAGAAATTAGTAAACAAATAAAAGAGAGCATAAGAAAAGACAGGAAACAAAACAGAATGGAAACTATAGAAAAATTCATTAGCAAAACTGGTGGAATCAAAAAGGCATACAGGGAACTGAGGAACTCAAAGGATTGGATTGTTAAAATGAAAAATGATAGTGGAAAATGGAAGCATCGTAGAATAGATATAATGGATATAGCAACATCTTATTACAAGAGATTGTACGAAAACGACACAACGGAAGACGAAATTGATTTAGCGGGTTTCTCAAATATTCCCAACATTCTTCAAGCAGAAGTCGAGAAAGCCATAGATACCCAAAAGGCAGACAAATCACCAGGTCCGGACGGCATAAGTAATGAGATCTTAAAACACGGAAAGGAAGTGTTAGCACCTGTTCTTACAGATATGTTTAACAATATTCTAAACACTGAAATAATTCCTCAACAATGGACAGAATCTAGCATTATCCTATTGTTTAAAAAGGGTGATAAACATGAAATAGGAAACTATCGCCCTATCAGTCTTATGTCAAACATCTACAAAATTTTTGCTAAGATCATACTAAAACGCATTGAAAGAACATTAGACGAGCACCAACCCATCGAGCAGGCGGGATTTCGTAAGGATTACTCGGTGATCGACCACATCCATGTGGTTCGTCAAGTCGTCGAGAAATACAGCGAATACCAGCTGAAATATTACATTTCCTTTATCGACTACAGTAAAGCATTTGACTCTCTTTTACATAAAAATATATGGGAAGCATTAGTGGAACAAGGCATTGAACACAAATACATAAGACTCATAAGAAACGTATACAGTAATAGTACAGCCAGAATACAGTTAGAAAAGAAAAGCCAGCCGTTCAAAGTAGGAAAAGGCGTTAGACAAGGAGATCCTCTATCCCCAAAACTATTCTCAGCTGTACTGGAATCAATCTTCAGAAAACTCACATGGGAAAATTTTGGGATCAATGTAGATGGCACATCACTGACACACTTAAGATTCGCTGATGACATAGTGCTATTCGCCAAATCACCCGAAGAGATCACTAAAATGATAGAAGAACTTGCGATAGAAAGTGAGCGAGTAGGGCTAAAACTTAATCCAGAAAAGACTAGAATGATGACAAACGGAGAGAAAACTGAGATAAAGATAGGAAACACCGAAGTCAACTACACTGACGAATACATCTATCTGGGACAACTTATAACTCACAAAGAACCTATGCGCGAGGAAGTGAATAGAAGAATTGCGAACAGCTGGAGAAGATACTGGAGTTTAAAGGAGGCCATGAAAGACAAACAACTTCATAATAACATTAAAGGTAAACTATTTAACACCTGCATATTACCCGTCCTTATGTATGGCTGCCAATCATGGACTTTAACCCGAGAAATGACTAACAGACTAGCAACTTGCCAACATGATATCGAGAGGAGCATGCTGAATGTCAAAAGATCAGACAGACTGAAAAACAGTGTCATAAGAAAAAAGACAAGAACCATAGATGTAGTACAGAAAATTAAAAGACTCAAATGGAGATGGGCAGGGCATACAATAAGAGGTCATGATAAATGGAGTAAGAAGGTGACAAAGTGGTATCCAAGGGAAGGCAAGAGGAAAAGAGGCAGACCGCAGAAAAGGTGGGACGACGATATAAGAGAAGTGGCAGGAGTGATGTGGAACAGAGTGGCTCTAGAAAGAACCGAATGGAAAAGGTTGGAGGAGGCCTTTGCCGATTGGCAAACAGATCTGCAGAAAATAAAAAAGCAGCAAATACTAGAATAAGTTTTATATTTTACTCTAAGTTTTATGTTTGCTCTAAAATAGTGTTATTAGGTTAAGCTATGTCGATCTGAAATAAAGGCTATATTCACTTGTTTTATGTTGTTTTACAAAAATTAATCTGTTGCTGTCAAAAACAAAACCGCGCGAATACCCGACTCCCTGTCGGGTATTCGCGTGGTAGTGTTGCCACGTTCGAAAACCAAATCAATCCATAATATTACTATTCGGCATTTTAGTGTTTGAAATACTTAGACAATATCATTAGTCACAAATATAAATAAAGTGAGCGATAAAATATGTGACTGTAACATTATTGTCTTGCGCATGCTGAATTACCTACTCGAACTACCCTTTTCGATGCAGTCTCGGGACATTATGCACGTCCACGTCCCACGTGACGTGTGTTTCGGTATTATTGTATTGTTTTGTGTCTTGGCTCTTGAGAACGCACATGTCTCTTCTTTCTTTATTAGTACTCCTAGTTGTGTTCGATAGTTAGATGAGAAGTATTATATCCGGAATTATATCCGGTAAATTACAGCCACGGGAACACCGAGTTATAAATAAACTTTGATAACATAAAGGATGTTACAGATAGCCATGATCCGAAAATCTGTTTATTATGCCGAAGTATTAATAGCTGCATCGGAGCTCAATGTCAAAAGCACGCTCTCGTAAAATTGAGTTTACACTAGATTGTGAGTGACGTCACGATGAACAATGGAAACTCGTTAATCAGCTGATTGCAGCGTCATGGATTGTTACACATTTGGGAGATATTGAGAGCAAAACTGCATGCAGCATAGAGAATTTCTTTGTAATAAATACAATAGCTTGGTCAGGCCTGGCACTACAAGCCTGGCCTGGCAAGCAATATGATTGTGAATGATTACTTCAATGCTGGTTTACAATTATTGGACTTAGTTTAGATTGTACAAGGTATAACTATACTTTGTTATCATCGTTCGCTTCCTTTTATTTTCTTGATCCATTATTGTGAAGTATATTTTCACACAAGTGCATGTGAAAACAATGTACTATCAGTCATTAACAATGATTAGCAGCCATCAATTATGTTTCATTGATAATTCTGTCAGTTCGAACCACATCGGTTGATACGTAGTCACTTGGTTAACTAATATAACAGAATTTTTGATTGTTTGTCGGTAGGTACAGAATAAGTTATAAAATATTCACGCAGTTCGCAACCACAAGCTGAAAAGTAGCGGAGATAGCCACGACTTGTCTTACTTAAGTGCGTAATTGTTCGAGATGACGCTCGAGTAGTTTCAAGCCACGACCAGGGTCCATAATCATAAACAGAATACGCAACGACTGATGCGCTATAATGATTTCACTACTCCTTGTCCCTGAATATAAAACCACGAAATAACCAGTTATCAAAAAGCAAGTAGGTATACATAGTATAACACTCTGCAGTTCTTTGTGGATTGATTAATACGTACTTTACAAGTAGGGGAAGCAGTTTTCTTCTTCTTGACCCTACTGACTTGTATGCCCATCATCGAGAACCGCATGTTTTTAACAATACGCCTCCATCGCTCCATAGTGACGCACTTTTAACGTAATTATAAAAACTGAATTATTCGATTAACTATGGCTTTATTACTTTTTTATTGACATAAAGTTCATTTTTCTATAATTTACACATTTTTTTCTTCTTCTGTAGTTTAGTTTACGTAATTTATTTATTTAACTAGTTCGTAAACACGCGTCGCTTGTGACCGACACGCGACGGTTGGCGGTGAGGCGGTGAGGGCACACAATCACGGCTATCAATCACTGTGATAAGATTGTCAGCAGCGAATTATTCGATATTAACACACATTAAGATATGCTGGCATAGAGCTACGGATAACGGGACACAGAGCCGATTATATCGATTAAGTATCGAGTTTGTTTAAAGAGCTGTAATTACTAATCAGTTACTAATTCATACTTTGAAAGTACACATCTAGGTAGAGCTAATTGTCACTGACTAAAGTGTTAATAATAATGTCAAATAGTTTTCTTTTTATTTATTTTTTATGGAATAGAAAGGAGGTAAGAGTTTCCTAGAAAGTTGTCCAAACTACCTGTTTTATTTTGATTTTGGAGACAAAATACTCGGGTAATGATTGGGTTTTAGGATAGCTATAACTAACTAGTCGTAAGAAGTCAGCAAAAATATTCGATCTTCCTTCCACAGCATTCTGAGAGCTTAACGACATCCTTAGCATGCTGTTGAAGGTATGTAGCACTAATTTACTATTTCCATGTCAAATACAATGAAGAAATACAAGAAAACGGCCCTGGATGTTTTTGTTGCTTTACAAAATAAAGTTCGTATTGTAACGCTTTTTATATGGAGACATAATATAATTCATCTCATATCGAGGGGTAACGGGCTATTTGGTTTAAGCGACATTTTTGCAACTTTACAGGAGAGCCTTTTAAAGTTTGAAATTTCGAAAAAAAATTCATAACAAAAACGCTTCTGCAGTTATTTGAACGGGGTAAATTGCATTGAAATTTAAATAAAAATATCTAGTTGCTGATGCTAATTCCAAATAAAGCGGACCTTTAATTACAAAGATAAATGTCGCTTAATACAATCTGCCCTTTTTTAGAGTCAGGAAAAATGATTTAAGTGACTTCATAACTACAATTGGCTACAAGGGAAAAAAATTAAGCGACGATGCACTCTATTTACAGAGTAAGCCAAAAAGTATGAAGT